GCTGCTTGCTGTTCAGTAAAAGTGTAGCATCAGAAGTTCAGTGTAGCTGCCTTTGGTGTCCTCACTACATGTGGGAGCCAAATGGTTGATGCTATTTCAGAGGCCAGTCCCGCAGCCCAGAAGATGCCAGTGGTCAGGGTTCAGGCGGTCATGCTTGGATGTCTTCCAAGGGCTGCAAATGTAAGAAAGTTTTGGAATGGAACATCCACAGGGTTTGTAAGTCTCTGTTTCCTAGGATGCACGAGTACTGTAACAGCTAAATCCCCTGCACATCAGGGAACTTACTAGAAAATGTGAATCTTAACCTCTTGTTCATGGTCAGCAAACACGAGGACATGCTATTCTGATTCTTCAAAGATTGGGCTCTTTGTCATAACATTAGTATCTGCGTGGGTGTCTGGGTGTGTGTTTGTTGAAGGAAGAGTCACTCATAATTGCCGTACAGTAGCTTTGGGTCTCAAAGTTTGAAAATTGTGGTATCTGGATTCTCTTGTTACCTGTCTCTCACCTGAGCCCCATGTACGTTTTCAATATTCTTGGCCTGTCTCTATGAAGAAACAGAGTGCATAACAGTGCAACTGTATAGTTATTTAAAAGCAGGTGACAAACGTAAAAATTCATAATTCCCCAAAATAATATTCTCTCTTTTCAGCAGGTGGTCCTGTCAGCTCTTGAGCACCTGGAGTTCTTTCAGAAAATATGACAAGCTCAGGGCCTTGGGCGGCCACTTTGTGCAGGCCACTGGCCTCCCAAGGTTGGTGAGGGGCAAAAGGAAAAACTGCCAGTCCTGCAGTGTTTCCCAGTTGTTAGTATCTCATGCTGTTTTCACCCTGTGCTTCATGTTTTGTTAAATATTCTGATGGTTCCTGTGCAAGGAGGTGAATTTTTTTCCCTCAGAAGGAAGAGATGATCTGAATGTGGAAATAAGACTGTCTTAGCTATCTGGTGCAGCTATAACAGAAATACCACAAGTGGATGGCTTTAACAAACAGAATTCCATTTTCTCACAGTTTAGAAAGCTAGAAGACTGAATTCAGAATGCTGGCTCTAGGAGGAGGATTTCTCTCTCTGTCAGCTCTGGAAGAAAGTCCTTTTCTCTTCAGCTTCTGCTTCCTGATTCCTTGGAGATCTCCATGAGTGTTGGCATCTGTTATCCCATCTCTGCTGCTCCCTTGTTTAATCTCTTTTATATCTGAAAAGAGATTGACTCAAGATACACCATACATTAATCCTGTCTCATTAACAGAACAATGACAGCCCATTCCCAAATGGGATTATAACCACAGGCATAGAGGTTAGGATTTACAGCACTTATTTTTGGGGGCACAGTTCAACCCATAACAAAGGCCTTCATTGTAGAGTATTTCTGTTGTTTTGCCATGTGTTCTCACTGTTTTAGACCATAGAGAGGAGCAAGACTACAGTTTGTCACAGTCAGACTGTGGAGAGATAAGTTCATTGTTTTGGAAGGATTGTTAAGTCTATGAGACAGGATGTGGTTCGTGAGGAAGTGAATGTAGACTGTGAAGGGATGAGGCTGATGGCTAACCCCTAGAGTAGACCTTAGTAGAACACAAACCTGTATCAAATCTTCATGAAACCTCACTTCCCCAGGACTGTCAGCTCACCCTTCCTTTCTCACCCATTGGAGTACATCGTACCTTGCCAAACCAGAATATGTGGGATGTTTTAGGACTCAGTGGCTGTTGAGGATGTGGCTGTGGACATTACCCAGGAAGAATGGGCATTACTGGATCTTTCTCAGAGACAACTCTATAGAGATGTGATGATGGAAACCTTCAGAAATATGACCTCAGTAGGTATGGATAGCTTCTTTTTCTCTTTTTTTTATTCTTTAGTGACCAAAGATGTCATACTCATCGATGTTACTCCAGTATGTAGGCTGAGGAGTGGGCACACATTATTAAGTAAGACAAGTACAGTCATTTGCTCTCTGGAGCAGGTATACCCTGGCTTCCCCATGAATACAAAGCTCTGTGTATTAAACTGACTTATTTCAATTGTGGTTAAAAGCTTTAAGTCTTTTTAATTGCTGTGTTAAAGTTGACTTCAGGGGTTTCTTTGGTGCACAGAGAGAATATTTGTGGTCTGGGTCCTTGTAAAAAATTTTACTGTGTTTAGTACTAGTTTCACATGATTATTTTGTTATGAATATATCCACACCTGCCAATTTCTAAGGACCCTGAAGAACAAAGTATTGGCTCAGTGTCAGGGAAATGCTCATTCTTGTCTTCCTTCGTGATGTGCCTTTCTCCATGCGCACCATGTGAGCACCGTGTTCCCCCAGAGTAGCAAGAGGAAGACCTGAGGAGATTGCAGAGAGCAGTCTTTTAGGGCCAGTGTGTCAGTGTGGGGCAGCAGGAGGCAAGAATCCTTTGAAAGACTAGGCCTGCATACAGGGAATGAGATTTGAATAAACCAGTTAAGAAAAGTCTCTTTTGGATTGAGACGTATGAACTTCACAGATACTTGAGCTTGCTTTTCTGACTTTCATCAATCCTAACACACCTGTGTTCATGGAGTAAGACTATCCCCTTTTCATCTTTTAATTTTCCATGTGCATTGTGTCCAATACTTTTCTGCTCTTTTAATTACACCCTATTTATGTCACCATCACTCTCTCAGTCTTCATGGAAGTATTTCACTGTAAATGGCTTTTTGACCATTGCTGAAGTACTGAAACAGCAAAATGTGTCAAAGTCTTTCTTTGGCTCACAGCTACCTTTTACCTCTGAGTAATTTCTTTCTTTTTTGTTTTATATTGTGAACCTCACCTTAACATCATTGGGTCAGTTTCTCAAAATCTTAATGAAGAAGAAAGGCTATCCACTGAAAATGTAATAGTACGGTTCATGAAAAATGACACCTGGTCCTCAGTGGTAGAAATCCACGAATTGCATGACATTGAAGATCAGGATTACAACCAGAAAACACACATAAGGTAAGTGTCATATCCTCGAGAGACAGCAGTGCTTCAGGAGAGAGTCCTAAGAAAGTACCATTGCATTAAAATATACATATAAGGAGCCCAAGTGGCACAAATGGTTAAGCACTCGACTGCTAACCATAAGATTGGCAGTTCGAACCTAACCAGCGGCTCTGTGGGAGAAATACCTGGCAATCTGTGTCCATAATAACTGCAGCCAAGAGAACCCTATGGGGTGGTTTTACTCTGTCACTTGGGAGTCACTATGAGCTGGAATCGACTCAACAGCACCTAACAACAAGAAAACAACTATACACACACAAACGCACACACACTTCTCACTTATGGACATGAGGTTAGGTTCCAAAGAACAGGTTGTTATGTGAAAATCGGTGTTATGTGTAAAGGGAGGATTTTTTCTATTTTCAGACCATCCATTTCTCCAATTTTTTTTATTTAGAAAATATTATATAGTAACAGCTAAGATTTACTGATGTGGTCATTGTGACGAGTCCAGTTATGTGTGGGTGTATACGTGCGTGTGTATACACATACATATATACAAACACACGGTCATGCATTGCTTAATGTCCACGATACATTCGTGAAATAAGACGTTACTGTGGTTGTGTGATTTGGACGTTTGTGCAAATGCCATGTTATATACAAGCATTCCTTGACTTATGAACATCCGACTTACATACAACCTGTAATCGCAAACCAACCCACGTAAAGCCTGTTATATTAAAAATTTGAGGTACGTACAATTGTTCCTAATAACAAACCAGTACTACTTTGCGAAGCACATCAAAACATTTTTATTATTATTATTATTGTATTAGTATGTTAAAGATGTTTTAGTGTGTCCAAAAAAACTAAATCTGTTGCCACTGAGTCAATTCTGACTCCTAGCAACCCTGTAGGACAGAGTAGAATTGCCCCATATGGTTTCCAAGGAGTAGCTGTTGAAGTCGAACTGCCAACCTTGTGGTTAGCAGCCAAGCTCTTAACCAGTGAGCCACCAGGGCTCCTTTGGTGTACTGGGATTTCTGAACTGTATTATAACTTTATGTGACTACGGACATATAAGCACTCAGATGTTGCCTGAATAGACATTATGCAACACTTGACTGTGTATATATCTCAAATCCTTTGCTGTCAAGTCTGTTCCAGCTTATGACAGTGGCACTGGTTAGGTTTGAACCACCAACCTTTAGTTCTAGTTGAGTGCCAACCTTTTGTGCCATCCAGGTATCTTGTATATGTATATAAAACCAGCTCTAATAGTGTGTGTTCACAGAACTTTCACAGTACAATATTTCCATAAACGTGAGTCAGATATTGAATATTTGCAACATGTCACTTATATACAATTATCAAAAAGACCCATATTTTAGAAACACAGTGAAAATAATGGTAGCATCTCTGCCATATTATTTAATCTATGCAATGAGAAAATTTGGGGCAAAAAAAACATGATGTTTATGGTAATGGTGAAATGGTAACACATTTATATCCAGTAGCATGTTGCCCTTTTTTTGCTACCTATTTTTAATAGAAGGCATATGGTAGAGAATCTCTGTGAAAGTAATGAAGACAATCAGTATGGACACACCTTCAGCTGGATTCCAGATCTTTCTGTGCTCAAAAGAACTCCTATGGAAGCATATCCTTCTGAATACCTTGAGTGTGGAAAATTTTTGCTGGATCATTCATAACTTAAGCATCATATCAGATCTCATTCTGGATGCAGTGCCTCTCAGTGTAAAGAATGTGGAGAAGCCTGCAGTTGTCCTTCCTACGTCACCACTCCTGTGAGAACTCTTACCAGAGAGAAACCCTATGAATGTAAGGAATGTGGGAAAGCCTTTAGTCAGTCTTCACACCTTACTGAACATATAAGAATCCACAGTGGAGAGAGGCCTTATGGATGTAAGGAATGTGGCAAAGCCTTTTGTCAGCCCTCAAGCTTCACTATACATATAAGAACTCACAGTGCAGAAAGGCCTTATGAAAGTAAGGAATGTGCCAAAGCCTTTCGTGATTCCTCAAGCCTCACAGGGGAGAGAGGCCTTATGAACATAAAGAATGCCAGAAAGCCTTTCGTCAGTTCTCACACCTCATTGCACATTTGAAAAGTCATAGTGGAGAGAGGCCTTATGATTGTAAGGAATGTGGCAAAGCCTTTAGTCACTCCTCAGACCTCATTGCACATATAAGAAGTCATAGTGGGGAGAGGCCTTATGTATGTAAGGAGTGTGGCAAAGCCTTTTGTTATTCCTCAGACCTCACTGCACATATAAGAAGTCACAGTGGAGAGAGTCCTTATGAATGTAAGGAATGTGGGAAAGCCTATAATCGCTCATCATATCTCATTAAACATATAAGAATTCACAGTGGAGAGAGGCCTTATAAATGTAAGGAATGTGGAAAAGCCTTTAGTTGGTTATCAAACCTCATTACACATATGAGAACTCACAATGGTGAGAGGCCTTTTGAACGTAAGGAATGTGGCAAAGCCTTTCATCATTCTTCAAGCCTCACTATACATATGAGAACTCACAGCGGTGAGAGGCCTTAACTAAGGAACATGGGAAAGCCTTTAGTATCCACTGCTTACTAAACATAAATAACCTCACAATGTGAGTGATTTTATGAATGTAAAGAATGTGCTAAAGCATTTAGTTATTACTCATCCCTCACTGAATACATAAGAAATCACCCTGGAGAGAAACATTTTGAATATATGGAACTTGGGAAATTATTTTGTGAATCCTCAAACCTCACTAACCATATAAAAATTCACAGTGGACAGAGGCTTTATAAATGCAAGGAATGTGTGAATGTTTTCAGATGTCCCTCATCCTTTGGAACACATCTGAGAAGGATACTGGAGAGAAACAATGAATGTTTAAGTAATGTTGGATAGATTCAGTCTTCTTGTCTATGTGTAAGAAGATACATGGCAAAGAAACCAAGTGAGTATAAAGAATATGGAGTTTTTGTTTTCCTCTCCATATTTTCAAAAACATTCTGATTTACACATATGGGAAAGCCTCCCCTACACATATGACATGTGAGTAGTGACACTGAAGAGACACTGTAAATGTAAGTTTCCTGGGAGCATCTACAAATCTTTTTCAATTCTTAGACAATATGTGAGGTATTACACTGTGGATAGATCCTACGAATGTAAAAGATGATGGTAGCCTTCAGTGACCCTATGCTGTAAGCATTGTGCAACTGCCTTCATTCATATTATTTCCCTTTTTGTGCAGATGGAAATTCATACTGGGGGAAAATCTTATGAAAGTTAGAAATATACCTATGTACATTACTTTCCACTTTTCATTTTCTGATGTAACATTAAGGTGAAAAATGTCTTAAGTCTCCTTTCAATCCTAGGAGATGAATTTTGAGAAGTAGTGTTTGCACTTTTCTTCATTTATATAAAAATTCTCTTCATTAGAAAGTCTCATCAACATACATGTTTTGCCGCCATCTAGGAGCTCGACTAAGTCCAGGTATTGATCATCGATGTGTTATCTCCAATCTCTGATCAAAAGGAGGGAATGATTTAGAAAATAATATTTGGAATCATTATTCCCTGACTTTGAGCATGGAGAAATATGACCCAGCTGGATCTGGGCCCTCAAGGACTCACACAGACACATCAACTGGTCCCTGAGATAAAGACAATAGATGGGACAATCTTAGAGATTATCTTTAAGGAAGTTTTCACAAAAGGGCAATCAAAGAGAACACAGAAGACTTCCCACTTTTTGCCTTTTTCTATTAGCATTTAGTGAACAGAAATTTGTTGGACCAATGAAGACCTTCCTGACTGTTGTTATTGAAACCTGTACCAGTGATTGTTAGGAAAGACAATTCAAAATGTAAGATCACAATTTCTAGCCAATCTGTGAAAAGTGATGCTTTCAATGATTCTACCTATTTGTAATTTTAATATATACTGATGATTCTGTAATGGTCTGTGGCCTGGGCAGACATGGCTGTGGCAGCATGGTTGTCCATTTTCCCATTCTTGCTATTCTGTAATATTCTTTGGACTCGGGTAGACATGGCTGTGGCAGCATGCTTGTCCGTTTTCCCATTCTTGCCTATTCTGTAATATTTTTTGGACTCAGGCAGACATGGCTCTGGCAGCATGGTTGTCTGTTTCCCACTTTTGTCCTTCTGAATATATGCCGAATAAAACTTTTTTTGCTTTAAAAAAAAATTTTTTTTGAAGCATATTTTTTAAATCAGCTGCGTTAAGTTCTATTTTTTTTTCAGAGTATAAAGCAGTATGTTCTCATTGTAGAAAACTTGACTTTAAGTAGGTTTATGGAAAAAGCAAAAAGCACTTAAAATCTCACCACTCTTGGTGTGGTGAAATGAGTTCTCTTATGTGGTCTTTTGACTTGGTTCTTTGGAAAAACAGCTTGACAGATTTTTTTCCCTCAACCTTGAGTTACCTTTGCCCTGGTTTTCTACCCTAGAGAATTTGTTACTTTTATCCAGGTTGACATTTCATGGATAAGTTGTAAACAACTTGATGGTTTGATACATTTTGTCCAGCCCTGGGCTGCAGTGTGCCCTCTAATTGGTCTGTTTTACTCACTTTTCAGGAATCAGTTGGTTTACTATGCAAATTCAGTAACTTGCAGTCCACGGATGGGATTGGTGACTTCATGGTCCTGCTAAGAGGGCCATGCCTTGAGATTGGCAAGGAGTTTGCTTATATAAGCATCCAACCCACAGAGGTTTTTATAGAGACAAGAAAACAAAGTGAAGTAGAGAGGAGGCAAGGAACCTCCTACAAGAGCTTTACACAGGTCAAGGGCTGTAATACTGAAACCAGCAAGCAGCCAGGAAGGGGCCCTTCAGCAGAGTTGTCAGTGACTGCAGAAAGCTGCTGCTAGGAAAGCAGCTAAGAAAGCTGAGCAAGCTGCTCCACTGTGTGCTGGGTGAGTTAGCAGTAGAGAGGCTGACAAAGGCAGAGAGGTTGAGAGTGGGCGGGCACGGTCTATCCGGAGCATACACGGCCAAGAGAAGGGCCTGCCTGCTTGCACAGCTAAGAGGAACTCAAGAAGGGAGGAAGTGATGTGCTCACTGGTTCTTGGAATCCTTCCAGACCTTGCCTGTGTACTTGTCCTGATCCCTTCTTGTTCCTGTTACTTGAAAGTTGATTCTGGCCCAAAGTTGTAGCCACTTAAAAGCTAAAAACCAAATCCTTTGCCATGGAGTTGATCTCTAATAAACCACGACCGTGAGTATGGTCTGTGAGTTCTGTGTAGCCATTGCAATAAATTAGCAAACCCAGGTGAGAAGTACGGAGTGCCAGGGGGGAGGACGGCTGGTGTCAGAAGTGGTGAATAAGTTGGAGGGTGGAGGTATGTTTGACCTCCACCTCATAGCAACCAGCTTTGTGCTGATCCTGGTTCTTATTGTCCCTCTGGAATTTAGAGAGTTCCCTTACACTAGAACACACTTGGTATTTTTGTTATTTTTTCCCAGGTTATTTTGTTTTGTTTTGCTTTAAGTAGAATCAGGATTGTACCGTGTGTTTAGTGTAGTAGTGGGTATTTTTGCATTGCATTTTGCATTGCATATTCTCCCTGACCACTATCATGATACCTAGTTTAATGGTGAGGAAACTGCACAGAAAGTTTTAATCCAAAATCATCCCAAAGATGATTTTATGACAAGGAGGGTTTGCATGGAAGGACAGCTCATTCTAAGGGCCCAAGGTGATGGTGGGCACACACAGAGCCCCAATCTGACCTAGCTGCAGTAGCGCTTCTCTCTTGCACTGGCACAAAGCCTGTGCTTGGTCGAAGAGTCCTTGTTTTGGTAATTCTGACAGCACAAGGGTGTGCACTAGGCTAGGAATTGATGCCGCAATTGGTGAGCTTGGCTAGAAAACTGCTGCCTCATGGCAGGGCCTGGAGAATATGGGAGCCCAGATAGGGTTCCTGTATTAGAGGGGCCAAGGCAAGGGGACTTTCGGCCTGGAGGTTTATCCAATGTCACTCTTCCCCACACTGAGCTGGGAGTTGCTTCACTGATTACTTATATAAGGGTCCTGGGAAATTGTGGCCACAGGTAACAGAAGCTATCCTATTAGATGGTACCTTGACCCACCAATTGCCTTGCAGAATTGTTCCATGGAAATCTCTAGGCACGATGATGCTGTCTATTGATAGTAGTGATAGTAGAAACCATGAAAGACGGTGTCCACCAGGAAAAGAGTTGTTAGATAAATACTTGTCCACACATCAAAATACTGAATTGCCACCAAAATACTTTTTTCTTAAAAATTTTGAAACAGTAACTTTTGGAATGTGAATTGAGAACTACATTAAATCTTATAATCAGTAGCACAGTGAAAGTACAGAATAGTATCTCTCTTCCCTCCAAAAACTTCTCTCATGCTTTTCCAAAAGTCAAACCTTCCCCAGACAATCCCTGACAATTATTTCTATTCATGTAGCTTTTTTATTCTGGCTTCTTTCCCTTAGCATAATGCTTTTGAGAGTCATCTAAGCCGATGAATGTATGGATAATTTGTTCCTTTTTCTTGCTTGTAGTATTTCATCATATAGACATACCATACTTTGTGTATTCACCTTTTTAAGGACATTTAGATTTCCGACTGTTATTAATAAAGCTGATATAAACATTTCTGCAAAGCTTTTGTGTGACCATAAAGTTTTCATTTTTCTCACATGTATCCTAGGAGGGAGATTGCTGTCATATAGTAGGTGTATGTTTGTAACAAACTGCCAACCTATTTTTTGAAGGGACTGTGTCATTTTGTATTCCCACTAGCAATATTTCATAGCAGGGGCATTACCTCTCTTCCATCAAGGCTAGCAATAGCAAGTGGTGTAAAGCTGATGATACCAAGGTATCAGTGCATAACACAATGTCTGTCCTGAGCTATCCACCCTACGTTCTGTTCGACACCCAAAAGAGCAAATTGGTCAGAGACATTGGGAGTGTGCCACAGGGTAGGGGAGCAAGAGGCCCTGGAACTGAGAACATAGATGCCAGAGCAAGGCCAGACATGCCCAAAGGAGACATCACCATCAACATGGCAGCGTTGGAGGAGGAGCACTTGGAAGAAATAGTCACAGGGAAAATGACCTTAGAAGGGTAGAAAACCCTCCAAGCACTAGACCTATGGAAGTCCGACTTCAAGCTCAGGGAAAGAGATTTCCCTGTGCTCCAATGCAGTCGTCATTCACAAATTGAACCACAGGGATGGGGTGAGAATGGACCACTGGGAGTAGGAAGGCCACCACTTGAAGGATCTGGCCAAGAACATCCTCGCTCCAGTGGCCATCAACTTTGGCAAAATCTTTTGTCCACGGAGGGATGTCAGAGGTAGCAAGAAAAAGAGGAAAGGGAAGGGTACCTTGTCACTTGATGGATTCCAGTAGTAATCATAGCATAGTATTCGTAGCTTATGAAGTCGTACTGCACCACAGCCGCCATCATTCCAAAAGTATCCATCACGTCTCTGTTAGTAAATGTAGATCTCTCCCAAATACAGGCAGGAAATGCTTATCCTTTAGAAAATGATTGAATACATGGGAAGTACTACACATTGTGAGAAATTTTCAAATCTGTCCACCTCACAGAGCATTGCAGCGATCCCTTGTGTCACAATGAGGGCAAAAGGACAACACAATTTCTTTGCATGTCCTGGCATCCTGGTGTCATCTGAAGGCCCAGGATCTCACAAAGAAATAAGCAACATTCTCCCCTGCAGGGCACATATGGTCAGAATTTGGGCACCCATACTCAGCTATAAAAAGGCATTTCTAATCACCTTGATCATCTTTACAATGAAGAATAAGGTGAAAGGGTAGAAGCACATAACCTAGGACAGGTGTGTTGGCTTGTGTGCTTCCATGCCAGTGCCGGGCATGTTGGTAAGGGGTCTTGTCCATGTCAACACCCAAGCACTTTATGGAAAAGCAGGAAGAATCCCACTAGCTGACTTCCTTAATACTTCTCTCCAAGCAAGGTGGATGTATTCCTGGATGGCTTCCATCAGAATTCACAGCTCTAAAGAGAGTCTGACTAGAAAGACCATCAAGGAAAATGGAGAAATGGAGAACGGGTTTGTTCCTCCTTTAGCAGGTGTCTGAATGCCGGAAATCATATCTACATACGCAACCCTTAATATCTTAGTAATTTGACTGCCTGACTAAAGTCTCCTACTGCAGGTACTCATGGAGGCACATGCACACAGTCACATGCACGCCCAGCCATTTGCATGGGGGCAAACAACACCATATGCAGAAGAACACACCCACACGCCCACTCAACCATGCACACGCTCGTGCACAAAAACATCTACACAAAAACATTGCCTCGCAAACACATACACGTTCACATGCCAGGGGTCTCGCTTGACTTCCTGTTGGGATTGTTCAAGACTTCCATGTCCCTAAAACCCCAACTCAGTACCCTTGTCCGTGGAGTTATGCAAGATACACAGGGGTAGACCTGCTTGGTGTTTCAGGAATGAAAATGGTTGTCAGAGAGGTGTTCATTGGAGTCCGCTGTGAGTAGGGGTGGCCAGACTCTCAGCCCACAGACCCAGCTGATGCCTGGGAATGGATTGTTGAATCTAGTAGCCAGTGGGAAACGGGAAGGAGGGAGAAGGCAGAGGGGATGCTCAGGCTGTAGCAAGGGGTGTGGCAGAGCATGTAAGCGCTTCAGGGGTAGTAAGAGGTCTGTGCCAGTGGAGCTGGAGGAATGGGCAGGGTCATCCCAAACAGGGCTGATGGGATTGCAGCATCTG